GTAGTACTGTAGTATCAGGCTGTAGTACTGTAGTATCAGGCTGTAGTACTGTAGTATCAGGCTGTAGTACTGTAGTATCAGGCTGTAGTACTGTAGTATCAGAGTGTAGTACTGTGGTACAGGGTGTAGTACTGTAGTACAGGGTGTAGTACTGTAGTATCAGGCTGTAGTAACGTAGTACTGTAGTATCAGGCTGTAGTACTGCAGTAGTACCTTGTATATTAGCTGGGAGTAGTAGTCGGAGACCCTGTCCAGGGAGGCGTTACCGAAGGAGCCACTCAGTCGGGAGTCTTTGCCCAGAGAGGAGCTGCCATATGGGGGGAACAGACTCAGGTCCACCCCCAGGACTGGTTCCATGAGAGGCAGGACTGAGAGCTGAGGAGGAGACAGATAATCAACACACTCATGTCTGACTGCACACTTTATGACAAACGTCAAAGGTTGATGGATGGATAAACCAACCAGGAGTCCCAGGTCCAACCTATGGTTCTGGGTCAAGCTGGACCTCAGTATGTAGAAGGGATGAGCCCGTACATCTGTTCAACCATCTAAATGATCTGTATCTGTACTCAGAGTGGGCGGGGCAGAAACCAGATGTGGGTGGGGTTTTAATCTGTAAATTGTTTTAAGTCTGAACTTGATATGGATTGATCAGAAGTTGCTATATGTTCTGTTTGAACGCTTTTTACAGAACTGCCTCAAAAATGAGATTCAAATCAATGTTTTTGATCACAAAAGAAAAAATAACTCAGAACATGAAAATGTTTGAGTACATGAATGAATACAACTCATGGTGCTTGTTACAGTTTCAAGTTCACCAAGTGACTTTAAATATACTAAACAAAACAGAGGTGAGCTGAACAGCAGTGTCCCCGTCTGAGGATTGTCCTTCAGCACGATGTGGACAAGTTTTACTCAGATCATCTCATCCTGGTCTGAAACCAGTACCCAGCTCAACCCAGTATGTAGTCCAGATCTAAATCTGGTGTTGGCACACATGAAGGAGGGTCTGTGACCTCACAGATCCGTTTGGGTCGCTGTCACAGAAGATGGCTCTACCTGTCTCAGGTGAGTTATCAGAGGGTCAGAGGAGGAGTGGAGGCTCTTCTCCTCTTCTTCCTCCTCCTCCTCCCTCTTCTTCTTCTTGGTCTTGGGTGGAGCTTTGTCCTTGTCGGCCCGGTACGGTTTCTTGCAGCGCTGAGTCTTCTTCCGGTCCAGACCAGGACTGTCCCTCATCATCACCTGGAGAGCAGAGGAGAGAACATCAGAGGCTGCTCTCATCACTGATTACAACCCTGCTGTTTACTCACCATGTTGCCATGACAACCAGTTCCCTCCTCTTCCTCAGACCGCACGCTGTCAACAGACAGCTGGCGATGAGGAGTCAGTGAGGCCTGTCTGCTGGGGGACAACATGTTGGCATGGGACGTCTTGTCCTTCAGCAGGTGTCTGAGCAGCTCCTTACTCCCATCACCTCCCTGAAGAGGTGAGGAGGGGGAGGAGAACTCGTCCATCTTCATCACAACTCCTCCACAAGGCCCCGCCTCCAAACGCTCCTCCTGAGGAACACACACGTGATGTATCTACTGAACACAGACCAACACTATGATGATCTACTGAACACAGACCAACACTATGATGATCTACTGAACACAGACCAACACTATGATATCTACTGAACACAGACCAACACTATGATATCTACTAACCTTGACTTCCATCTGAACTGCAGACAGAGGAACTCTCTGGCCCTCAGAGACCGGGATGGAGCTTCGTGCTGACAGCTGCCTCTCCAGTTCAGTTGAAGAAGCCAGACCATAGAAAGAGCTGTCTGATTGGTGGGTGGGTGTGGAGCAGGAAGTATCAGAGACAGCTGGAGTGGGCGGGGCTGTGATGTCAGAGTGTGGTGATAAGGACATTTGTGTCCCCTCTCCTCCTGCATCGGTTCCATCTCCTCTTCTGCTCTTTTTCTTCTTTGGTTTGTCCTCAGCATCTATGTCAGCATGAGGGTGGACGGTGGAGGCGGAGCCTCCAGAGGATGAGCAGGGGAAGGAAGTAGGCAGAGCGGTGGAGGGTGGGGAAGAGTTGGAGTTGTTTCCAAACTGAGGACCCTGGCCTCCAGGATGAGAGGGGGTCATCCCTGCTGCAGATGGATGCAGCTGAGCCGGGAGCCTCAGTCTGGTSTGGAGGGGGGACCCAGAACCATCCCCTGGAAACAGTCCTGGTGCTGAGTACAGGGCTCCTTCTGTGAAGCCCTGATGGAGACCTGTGTGTAAGGGGAATGGTGCCCCTGCAGGGGCTGGGGCCTGGACCTGGGGTGAAGGTCTGGAGGCTGTGGAAGATTGTTGGAAGTCCACCCCAGAGTCAGAACTAAAGAAGGGCATCCGAGTCCGGCTGTCTGCTCTGTGACTTGCTCTGCCCAGCTCTACAGAACCTGGTCCCCCTGGACCTGGTGTTTGTGTGACCCGGGACCCAGACAAAGCACCAGCTCCAGCACCAGGGCCGACTGATGTCCCCATGAGGTCCTGCTGCTTCAGTTCTAGTCTCTGCTGCAGGGCTCGGTGACGTTCCACCTAAAAACAAAGAATATGAAGAAGAAAAGAGGAAGTGGTGTTTACAGAAAACAAACATCTCTTCCTCTCTGATGAGCTCTTACCTCCTGCATGAGCTGGACTCTCTGACGCTCCTGCTGCTCTCTCAGACGCTCTCTTCTCTCCCGCTCCTGGAAGCCCTCACTGAACGGGTTGTTGTCGTCAAACTTCACCTGCAGACGACCACAAACATCAACATTTAATGTTAGAGTTAAGAAAAAACAAGTTACAGAGCTGGTGCAGCAGGAGGAACAGTAGTCCTGCTACCTGAGGTGTTAGTGTGGCTCCGTCCCCCGTCGTTCCATTGGGGCCCCCTGAAGGGCCCCGAGGACCTGCAGTGAAGCCTGGAACCATGGACGGAGGGTTCTTGGTGAGACCCTGGGAGTTGTTGGGCAGGGTGGTGGGGATCTTAGGAGGCAGGTGTGATGGTAGCCTCTGCCCCACAGGTCCAGGAGCACAGGAGCCCAAGGCCCAGCCAACTGGGGCGTTTGGGGCTCGGACTGGTGTGGGTCCGTTCTGTTGGRCCTGCAGGGGCAACGTGGGCTGGCTGAGGGGGTTCTGAGAGGACATCTGAAGCAGCCTCTGCTGGTTTTTGTTCTTGTAGTCTTCAATCAGCTCAGTGTGGTCCTTCTGCTGTTTCCGGATCTGAATCAATAAGAKAAGTCAGAACCTGGCTGATCTAACTGTGCTTTTACACAGAACTGCAGTCCAGGTGAGCCCAGTTACCTGCTCCAGCTGCTTCTGCACCGCCCCCTGCTGCTCGCCAATATAACGAAGCTGGGCAGCATCTTCCTCGGCGAATGCTCGACCCGCCCTCTTGGCCGTTCTCTGCTTGGCCGACAGAGCTTTCTTAGCCTTCCTGTGGGCGGTGATTTGTTCCTCCAGGAGGCGCTGCTGCATCTGCAGGAGCTGCTGCGTCTCTCCGAGCCACTCCTCATACTGACGCCGCTGAGACTCATCTGGGAGAACACAGATCACACAAGGAGCTGGATTCAAACCCACAGTACGGCTGGGAGACTGACAGAAATACTGAATTTAAAGTTTTTAAAGACAAAAACAATTAACTACCTGAGGAGTTAACGTTAGCTCAGGTTAGCTGAAATGATAAGCTAACATTAGCTCTGGTTAGATAAACTGATAAGCTAAATTAGCTCAGGTTAGCAACAGTGATAAGCTAACATTAGCTCAGGTTAGCTGAAATGATAAGCTAAAGTTAGCTCAGGTTAGCAACAGTGATAAGCTAATATTAGCTCAGGTTAGCAAAACTGATAAGCTAACATTAGCTCAGGTTAGCTGAAATGATAAGCTAACATTAGCTTGTATTAGCTAAACTGATAAGCTAACATTAGCTCTGGTTAGATAAACTGATAAGCTAAAGTTAGCTCAGGTTAGCAACAGTGATAAGCTAACATTAGCTCAGGTTAGCTTAACTGATAAGCTAACATTAGCTCAGGTTAGCTGAAGTGATAAACTAAAGTTAGCTCAGGTTAGCAACAGTGATAAGCTAATATTAGCTCAGGTTAGCTAAACTGATAAGCTAACATTAGCTCTGGTTAGCTTAACAGATAAGCCAACATTAGGTCAGGTTAGCTGAAATGATAAGCTAAAGTTAGCTCAGGTTAGCTTAACTGATAAGCCAATATTAGGTCAGGTTTGCTGAAATGATAAGCTAAAGTTAGCTCAGGTTAGCTAAACCGATAAGCTAACATTAGCTCAGATTAGCTAAACTGATAAGCTAACATTAGCTCAGATTAGCTAAACTGATAAGCCAACATTAGGTCAGGTTAGGTGAACTGAAGAGCTAACAGCTCAGGTTAGCTGTGGCACTGCAGATGGGCACACTGTTCAGGAGCTCTGTCTTGTTTTGATTGTTTCACCATGTGAAACAACAAGGCAGCTTCATGTGGATGTGTAAACAAACGGTCAGAGGCAGAATAAAGACCGTCTGGTGACTGTGGGTTCTGATACTCACTGACAAAGCCTGAACCGAAGCTGGGGGGGTTCCGTCTGACCAGCTGAGGATTTATCTTCCCSTCCTGTTAGTGAGAGACATTCAGAGGATGAGAACAATCAATCAATCAAAACTTTATTTCTACAGCACTTTTCACAGCCAACGGCAACCAAAGTGCTGCACAACAGAATAAAAATACAATCAGATAAAATCAAGTAAACACTTCAGTAAGTAGAAAAGAATACAGCATGTAAAAATAAATAAATAAATACTGACCTACTACATGTTCTCTCTAGCATTAAAAGCCAAATAAGTCTTTAAAAGACATTTAAAATCATGCAGTAATCTGCAGACCTCACAGAGGGAGGAAGCTTGTTTCAGGGTTTAGGAGCTGCAGCTGAGATGACTCTGCTCCCTTTAGTCACCAGCTGAGTCCTGGAACCACCAAGAGCATCTGATCTTCAGATCTCAGAGCTCTCCAGGATGGTAGTGATGTATAACATCAGACAGATAAGGAGGTGCCAAACCATTTAGACATTTAAAAACCAAAAGTAGAACTTCAAAAACAATCCTAAAAGGAACAGGCAGCCAGTGAAGAGAGCGTAGAACGGGTAATATGCTCACACCGTCTTGTCCTCATTAACAAACGTGCTGCTGAATTTTGGACCAGTTGGAGACGGTGGAGAACAGACTGGTCAATTCCACTATAAAGGTAACTGCAGTGGTCCAGTCTAGAAAAGATAAAAGCATGAATAACCCTCACAAGAGCGTCGTAGGGAAGGTAAGGCTTAACTTTACAGATAAGACTTAAATGATAGAAACTGGATCTGACCACTGCACTGACCTGTCTGTCAAATTTAAAATTGTTGTCCAAAATCACCTCAAGAGTCCTAATAAAAACAGTCTGAGTCCAAAGGGCCAACAGCACTGTTTAATCCTGCCAGAAGGTCTGATTTTCAAATGTCAGAACCTCTGTTTTATCTTCATTTAAACAGAAAGTTTAGCTCCATCCAGGATTTCACATCCTTCACAGTTCTGCAGGTTCTATCCTCTGAGCTCCATCGATCTCAAAGGCAAATAGATCTGAATAAAAACATCTGCATCAAAATGAAAAGATACATCATATTTCCTGAAAATGGACCCCAGAGGAAGCAAATAAATAGAAAACAAAATGGGGCCCAATATTGAGCCTTGAGGAACCCCGCATCCGAGAGGGGCCTCTGATGACAGAAACTCCCCAGTTTGAACAGAAAACTTCCTGTTTGACGAATAGGCCTCAAACCATTTAAGAGCTGTGCCTTTCCCACCARCGAACTGTTCCAGATGTGATAATAAAACTCCGTGATCCACCGTGTCGAAGGCAGCAGTCAGACCAAGAATTAAAACAGCAGAAGAACCAGAATCAACAGCTAAAAGCAAGTCATCACACACCCTGAGATGACCTAAAACCAGACTGAAACTTCTCATGAATACCATACAGCTCTAAGTGGTCCTGCAGCTGAAGATAAACCACCTTCTCCAACATTTTAGAAAGAAAGGCCAGCTTTGAAACTGGTYTAAAGTTTGACAGAACATTAGAGTCCAAATTATTCTTTTTAAGAAGTGGTTGAACAATGGAGGCTGTTGGAACACATCCTAAACGAAGGGAGGTGTTCAYGAAACCAGCTACCCATGGACCAACACTACTAAAGACCTCTTTTAAAAGCCTGGAGGGGATGATGTCTCCTGGACAGAATGAAATGTTGAGCTAAGTCACAAATCTGAGAAGAAGTAACAAAATCAAAATATTCCAGGACAGCAGGAGGGACATGTGAGGGAATAAAATCAGGGTCATGCAGAGGAGAAAGCCTGGCTGCAGACACTTTGTCAGTAAAATATTTTAAAAACCTTCCACATAGTGACACAGAGGAGTCAGGCAAGAAGAATCAAAGGATTCAGAATCACAGCTACACACCTGTCCAACCAGGTGAGGAGGCTGAGCAGGCTGAGGAGGCCCCTCAGGACCTGGGACCCCTGGATCCTGCTGGAACCTGGGAGCAAACAGGAAGTGATGAGGATGTGAGTCCAGAAACACAAAGGTGGAACAGGTTCAGGTGAGACCAGTACCTGTTGATGACCGCGGGACTCAGGCCCAGGTTACCCTGACTCATCACCTTGTTGATCCCCTTCAGAGCCACCATCTTGGCCTTCATGATGGGGTCTGAAATGGAGTCAAAGTCTGCAGAACCAACAGACACAGAGAGTTCTGAAGAMGGTGGACCTGGACACAGAACAGGAGTGAGGCTCTGGTTCCTGGAGGTCCTGTCAGGACCCTGCTCTGAGGGGTCAGGTCTTACCCGTGTTGGGAAAGCAGGACTCAGGTCCAGAGGTCTGTCTGATCATGGCCTGCATGTGTTTCTGCTGCTGCTGCTCCTGGCGCTCCTTGTCCAGCAGGTCCTGGATGAGGAGCGGCTGCTCCATGAGGAGCAGAGGCCGGTACTTGTTCTGGTTCTGGTTCTGGTTCTGGGGGTTGACGAGGAGGCGAGGTGGAGGAGGTTGCAGTGACACTGTGAGAGGTAAGGCAGGGGGTCCCTGAGGGTGGGGGCTGGGACCCGGTCCAGGAGGTCTCTGCTGGAAGAGGACCTGTTGCCCTGGAAACAAAGAATGATGAGATGATGTCACTGAGCTGAGAACAGGTCTTACCTGTGGGCTCAGGGGTCAGCTCACCTGCAGACATGGAGGGCTGGACCATGGATGGAGCCTGATCCTGGACTTGTCTGACTGGACCAGCACCTGAAACAGAACCAGAGTCCTCCAGCTTGTCCTGGAGGGAGGGGGGTCAGGTCTCAGAACTCAAACCAGAGATCAGATAAAAACCAGTTCCTGCTGGTCCCACCTTTAAGACCAGAACAGAGGGACCTGGAGCTCCTGGTGGTCTGCTCAGGACCACAGGAGGAGGTGCTTCTCCTTTCACAGCCTCCTTCACTTCCTGCTTCACCTGGGGGGCGTGGCCTTCTGTCTTCAGACAGGAGCCGTCCTTGTCCTCAGCCGGCTCTCCCAGGTCCAAGTCCTCGTTGAACATGTCCTTCTTGTCCTCCAGGTTGAGTTCTGGGTCAGCGTAGGCGATGAGGTCAAACTTCCCCGACAGCAGGAAGTCATCCAGGTGCAGGTCATTAGGACCCAGGTCCAGGTCTTCTTTACCTGAGTCAGAACCAGCACAATGAGTCCACCCAGACTGAACATGTCTACCAGGGTTCTGAGCAGCTCCTACCGTCCTCTGGGTCCAGGTTCAGGTTCAGGTCCACCAGATCCTTCACCTCCACGTCCTCCAGGTCCTTCACAGCTGACTCCTCCCCCTCCAGGTGCTCCTCCATGCCATCGTGTCCCGGGTGCAGCCCTGCTGAGTGACCCAGGTGCTGCTGGGCCAGCATGGACTCACCCGRCCTGGCTGGACCTGGAGGGACGGCAGCAGATTGAGCAGGGTCTCTGAGGCGCAGGAGCGGGACCTGAGGATCTGGACAGGTGGGCAGTGGGAAGGGCAGCCTCAGGCGGTTCTCTGGAGCCCGGTGCCGCAGCTCGATGAAAGGCATGTGCTGCTGGACCAGGAGGGCCCGGGGAGGGCCGGGCTGGGGGACACCTGGGAGGACAGGACAGGAGAAGAGACGGGTCATCAACTAAAGAAGAACTAACACCTCCACAGGTCCAGGGTCTGGACCCAGCTTTCAGTTCTGTTCTGACCTGGCATCATGTGAGCRTTGGGGTTAGGGGGCACCACAGACCGGATCCTGGTGAACTCTGAGGACATGGGTCTCCTCATCTGGACCGGGTTCCCCTCCCCAGAACTCAGAGCAGGAGCAGGGACCGGTCCCAGCGGAGGACGAAGGAAGGAGTCCTGGAAACCTGCTGGAGCTCCATCCGGACCACCAAACCTGGTCCAGAGGAAAGAATCAGTGACTGGACCCGGTCTGACTATCAGACCGGGTCGGACCAGGTTTTTAGTGCAGGTCTTACCTGACAGCCGGTCCTCTCAGACCCAGGTTTTGRGGGAGGTTCTGTCTGGGGGTGAAACCCCTCTGCTCCCCTGGGAAGCCTCCAGGAAACCTGGGACCAGGAGGTCTTACTGTACCAGGATACGGGGGCGGGGGACGTCCAAACGGGTCCGCTGGAGCGGTGGAGGAGGTGAGGGGGTCCTCAGGGAGCCAGCTGTGAGCAGGTCCTGAACCCAGGTCCTGCAGGCCCTTCTCCTGTCTCAATGTGCTCTTCTGCTGCTGCTGCCGGAGGAGGCGCTGCCGCAGCCACTGCCGCTGTGTGTGTGTGTGTGTGTGTGTGTGTGTGTGTGTGTGT